TGTAATTAATTACATACTTATCAATAACAACAGCAGCAGATTTCCACCAATAACTTCGATCTACACTGCCAAGCAAATCACCAAAACGTACAACAACCACACTACCACCAATCAATTTTATGTAACAACAACAAGTTTTCCGCCGAAAAATGCTGACCAGTTTCCAAACAACAGCAAAAAAAACTGCTGCAGACGCAGCAACAACCACAAGGCATCGATCGGCAATACGTAACCCAAACAACCGACCAACAACTCAATGTTGCAATGCGCACTGCTGTATTGAACTTCAATGGCGAATGAAAGCCAACAATTTTCAATTCGATTTTTATATTGGTGAACAAGTTTAAGAGTAACGACAACGACACCAACAAAAAAATATTGATGTCAAACTTCATAAAAAAGCTTACGGTTAAATAACTTGGCCGTGCAGTTTTCTTACGGCGCTTTTTTGTACCAAAAAAAAAACCGAAACCGATCACTTAGCCAAACTTTATTAGACAAACGAAAGGCTAAGTGACCAGTTGTCTGAGTTTCTTCGTCGTTTTTTCGATACGAGCTCTGGCAGGCATTGACACAGAATTGCATAGTTTTGGTTTTGTAAAAAAATAGTGGACTTGCCTTTACATCTACATATGGAAGTGCCGTCCGAATGCCAATTACAAGAACAGGTGTAACAAGCCACCACTTTGAGTTACCAAACGAAACAAGGTCTTCGTTTATATGTCCATTTTAAGTAGCTGTTTCAAGTACTCATTTTAGAAGTGTTCTAGAGTTTAATTTTTTTTTGTTTCTATGCTTCAGTCTTTTGCATAGAATTTTGGCAGTCTTACGGCATATGCCGAATATTGGCAAATAAACTTAAAATGTAAAATTCTGCTTAGCAAAATCTTAATATTTTTATAACTAACAAAGTTGGCCAGGCCAAACAAAACTCCAATATCGATAAGTTTTTTACCCACCTATATCACGGAATGCCAATTTACAGATATTTCAAAATACCGACAAATTGGGCGCCACCTTTATATGGGGGCTATATCACAAAATGAATCAACTTTCAACATTTTCCGCAAACATGTTTGTCACTCTTTCGAAAACCCGGCAAATTACAGGCACTTCGGTTGGAAAATACAGTTGAATCCTTACCGAAAACGGGTCAAATGTTATGCAAATATTTCCCCAGTTAAACTTTCTGTACTTTGCAATATATCATGCCAAGTCTCACAAGAGGCGAACAAACCAGAGATAAATTCTTCCTAAAGAAACTTTAAAAAGCGCCTTTGGAAGTCTTCTTAAAGAGACATGTACATATTCCAACCAGAACACATCAACGATTTCTACTGAGACAGTTATAGAAACAAAAGGACGGATAGACAGTTGAGAACAGAAATAGATTTCTATACGTCCATACCAAATATAAGAACGGTAAGATTGCAAATATTTAGCGAATGAGTAAACCTATAGGCATGTGAAAACACTTGACGTCAGAAATAGGTCCGGGAGTCTTGTAACATTTCATAACACATCCTCATATTGATGTGAGTATAATTGTTTTGGGGGCGGAAATATAGCAAGAAGCTTGGTAAGGGTATGGGAACCACATAATGTGTTGAACCCCACATAATGGGGTTGAAGTATGAACGACGTTTTTTTTTTAATTTTCAGAAAAATTTAACGAACGAGTACGAAATGATACTAAACTTAGAATATTTATTATTTTTGTGAACTAATAGATATAGAGTCTTAATATTTGGTATGCGAATTAGTGTACATATACTTGTGGTAAGGAGGTGTTTTCAGAAATATGTTCTATAAGTGTGCATATTGGTACTTAAATTAACAATATACGTTAGTGTTTTGAAATAGCTTCCATACAATGATGCCGCATTTCAGATATTTTGAATTTCTCACTCGTATTTTCCAAAGTAAGTTCCTGTAATTATACCCTCAGCCTTATGAGAAAAATATTTATCTTCCAAACTTTAATCATGTTCGAAAATGAGAATATTTTGGTCATAATTATCCTGCGAATGCGAACAGAGTATCTGATTTGAACCAAAGATCACATTTTTGGAACCTTTGGCCACATATCCCATTTTTTGGCCATAATTAGTGCGATAGGCTATGAAATAAATACCAAATGTAAGGGTCTCGAAGGCGCTGATTACGATTCTGCAAGAAAAAAGTAAAAGTTCAATAGCGTGGATTGAAAATGGCGGCCAATTTTTTTATGCCCTTCACCACACTGTGGTACAGGGTATTATGTATTTGTACATATGTTTGTAATAGCCAAAGTAATCGAGATAGACCCATGGTTCCTTTTGAGAATATGCATAGAATCACTTTCTGAATCGATTTATACATGTCCGTCCGCCTTTTTATGTTAAATTGTAAACAAAGTACAGGTCGCATTTTTGATTCGAATTTGGCATAGCTCATTTATTTGGACCAAGGACCAAGGAACCCTATTGAAATTGGGAATAATCGGTTCAGATTTAGATATAGCTGCCATACATAATTTCGTCCGATTTAATGTAAATGGTGCACCAAAGTACCTATATATCTTTCGATTTGCACGAAATTTGCCATAGCATACTAAATTAAGTCTAGAGTGATGTGTTTTAAATTTCGTGAAAATCGGTTCATTTAGATATAGTCCCATACACATTTTCGTCCGATTTTAGGTAAATAGTACACCAAAGTCCGTTTTTATCCTACGATTTGCACGAAATTTGGCACAGCGTACTGAATGAAGTCTAGAATAATGAGTGGTAAGTTTTGGGGAAAATCGGTTCAGATTTAGATATAGCTCTCATATATTTTCGACCGATTTTTTTTAAATGGTGCACCAAAGTACCTATATATCCGATATAACTTTCGATAAATTGCATGTGAAATTTGGCATAGCGTAGATGAATCATATATACCTTGAACAAAGTTCCTTTTTATCCTACGATATGCACGAAATTTGGCATAGCGTACTGAATTAAGTCTAGAATAATGAGTGGTAAGTTTTGGGGAAAATCGGTTCAGATTTAGATATAGCTCCCATATATATTTTCATCCGATTTTATGTAAATGGTGCACCAAAGTATATCATTCGATTTGCACGAAATTTGGTATAGCGTCCTGAATTAAGTATAGAATGATGTATGTTAAGTTTCCCATATATATTTTCTTCTCGTTGTATGTAAATTGTGCACTAAAGACCCAAAGTTTGTCCGATTGGAACACAATGTTGTACAATGTACTGAAGTTAATATAAATTTATTTGTGGCAAGTTTCATTGAAATCGGTTCAGATTTAGATATAATTACACATAGGTAAATAATGCACAAACTTCTAATGTTTGCCCGACTGTCGCGAAATTTTGCACAACGTATCAAATTGAAACCTCAGATGTAGACATAGCTTCCATATATAATTCGAACAGGTGTCTGATTGAGATTAAATTTTAAATCGATTTACATAAATTTTTCCCATTGTATGCAATGGACATTGTATGCATCTGTCCGAATGAAATGGAATTTAGCATAGAGATCACATATTTTTCGATCAATTTCCCTCGAAGGAACATTGACATGAAATTGTTAAGATACATATGTAGAATATACCCAAAGTGGTGAAGGGTATCATATAGTCGGCCCAGCCAGACTTGATTACTTTCCATACAGTTTTTTTTTTTGGTTTGTGCGCTTTTTCCACCAAATTGCCTGTAATTTTGAATTATCATTGGGTGTGAAATCTTTGTACCAAATTAAATTATTTCTATATATTTTTCGCAAAAGGAGAACATCTGATTTCTATATATTTTTAACAGTTTTTGAATTATTTTTAAACAAAGTGGCTACAACTTGGCATTACGGATTCACAGATAATTGAAGGCCTATTATGATTTAGCACAGCTCCCAGTTTAATTTCCCTACTCTCCATGACTCTCGATGTTAATTTTTGTCCTAAAAATATATGTAATCGTACCACCAAATATCAATGGGTAATCTTTGTCAAGTTTTCAAAATCCGACAAATCTCCAAAATATTCTAATGGGGATCAGCAAAAAATCGTGCCATAATGTAAAAATTATCAAAATCTGGACGCATCTGAGTATTCTTTAAGTGCAGGTCTACACTAATGAAATTCCAATACAGCGATTTAAAATATTATCAAATGAAGAACTTGATCTATAAACTCACACTTTCATGTAATTTGTTTAATTTAATCTTATATATACAGTGAAGTACGGTTATAGCGAACAAGTAGTGACCAAGCAAATCAGTTCGTCATAACCATCGCTAAGTATTATTTATATTTGTAGCAAGTTTGTTATAGCCAAATTAAAATCAATGAAAACTGAAAATTGGGCCCGAATAAATAAAAAAAAAACTTCGGGACCAGGAAATGCATTCACTATAAAGAAAGTTCATTATAACCGGTGTTCGTTATAAGCGTACTTGTCTGTATCATGCCTCAATTCATCTTTATGTATATATTTTTTTTTCAAATCTATATTTACCCATCAGAACATCACCTCTTAGAATAGTTAGAATTTTAACAAGGTGTTAATACAATTTCAAATAGCCAAATAAACAGTTGTCAATAGTTACACTTCACAGTAAAGTCTTAAATGGTAAACTAAACAAAACGGTGTCAAGGTATGCAAAAATTCACACACAAATATACACCCATGACATCAATTGCGAAATATGTTCTAAACGTTTTGTCCAAATATCAGAATTATTTTTTTCTCAAAACAACCAAATTTGCTTATTGTCCAGCTATCTGTTAATTTATGGCGGCAATTGATGTCAAATTATTTTTTGGCAATTCATTAACATTTATTTTGACTGCATCATGCTGTTGTCGAATTCTTAATTCTCAACATAGGTATTATGTAATCGTGATATAAGCTTTTGAAGGTTATTTTGTCTATATTACAAACAATGTTTGCTAATTTGATTTAATGTTTAAATTTTATTTTTTTGTTGTTTTTTTTTTAATTGCAGAAAGACACACATGTGGTGGTAACCACATCACTGGGCAAAATCCGCGGCCGCTTCCAAAAATTCCGTTCTGGTGAACGTGGTGGCTATTATAGCTTTAAGGGTATTCGCTATGGTCAAGCGCCAGTGGGTGATCGAAGGTAAATATTAAGAAGGGAATGATTATTTTCAAAAAATATCTAGTAGACCTGCTTTTCTATCCTATAGAAGAGAGACTTTCTTATATCCGAAGTTAAAGGACTTTCTTCTATCCTTAGAAGAAGGACTCTCTTCTACCCACAGAAGATAGACTCTCTACTATCTATAGAAGATAGACTCTATTCTATCCACAGCAGAGGGACTCTCTTCTATTCATAGCAGAGGGACTCTCTTCTATCTACAGAAGAGGGACTCTCTTCCATCCACAGTAGATAGACCCTCTTCTACACATAGAATAAATACACTCTTATCTATAGAAGAGGGATTCACTTCTATCCATAAAATAGGTACTCTTTGCTATCCATAGCAGGACTCTCTTCTATCCATAGAAAAGAGACTCTATTCTATCCATAGAAGAAGGGTTCTCTTCTATCCATAGAAAGAGCTCATATAAGAAGGACTCTCTTCTATCATAGAAGAGGAACTCTCTGCTATCCATAGAAGAGAGACTCTCTTCTATCATAGAAGAGGTACTCTCTGTTATCCATAGAAGTGGGACACTCTTCTAGACATTATCTTCCATTCTTGGAAGAGGGATTTTCTATCCATTGAAGATGGACCCTGCTGTATATTAATTTTGTTCCCTCCTTAGATTCCGTGCAGCAGAACCGGAAAGAAGTTGGGCTGGTATACGTGATGCCTCGCGTGAAGGCAACAGCTGTCCACACAAAAACATGATTTTGGATACGTTTAAAGGCAATGAGGATTGTCTGTTTTTAAATGTGTTCACCATGAAACTACCCAAGGGAGAATAGTAAGTACATCCCAAAATTTAACATACAAACTAAAAATCTGAAACTCCTCTTCTTCCCAACTTACAGTAATCCCCAATTACCCGTAATGGTGTGGATGCATGGCGGTGGTTATTCCTTTGGTTCGGGTAACACATTCCTTTATGGCCCCGATTATTTGGTAGCCGAAAACGTGGTGTTGGTAACTCTCAATTACCGCCTAGGCCCCTTAGGGTTCCTTACAGCTGGCCCAGATGCCCCCGGCAATCAAGGATTGAAAGATCAAATCCTTGCTTTGAAATGGGTTCGTGATCACATTGCCAATTTTGGTGGTAACCCCAATCAGGTTACAATTTTTGGTGAATCTGCTGGAGGTTCATCCGTGCAAATGTTGCTGTTATCTCCCTTGGCCAAGGGGCTGTTTCATCGTGCCATTTCTGAGAGTGGTTCTGCTCTCAACCCTTGGGCCATGGGTGAAAGTTCCATGACACGAGCCTACAGATTAGCCGCTAATTTAGGTTATGTGGGAGCAAATGATACTGTTGAAATTTTAGAGTTCCTAAGACGTGTGCCAGCAATGAAATTGGTCGAAGCTGCACCCACAACGCTGAATGAAGAAGATTTTCGCAATAATGTCGGTTTACCTTTTGTCCCGGTGGTTGAAGGTTATTGGAATCGTCCCGGAGAACAACCAATTTATTATGAAGCTCCGCTAATCACGGAAAGTCCTCAGGATATGTATGATCAACAGAAATTCCATAAAAATATACCCTATATGACGGGTTATAATACCCATGAAGCTATGTTGTTTATTAGACGTGAGTTGTGAGAATTTGATGGATCTTGAAAATGTATTTAATGGCGTGTGTTTTTGTTTTTTTTAGGTCTACGCAAAAATCCTCAGTTATTGGACATCATTGAAAATGATTTCACCCGTTTGGTGCCAAGAGACCTTAATGTTACCGATGATCGTGAGCGTGTAACGCGGGAAATTCGTCAGTTCTATTTGGGCAATAAGCATGTGGGCATCGAATCTGTGGATGAAATGATTGCGGTAAGTATTTCCACATAATTGACTCGAAGAAAACAATGTTTTGAGGGTATACATAATTTGACCTGTAGAACACATGAGGGTCCAACTTAGAAAAATTTCGGTTGTACAATTTCATTGAAGTTTTCAGCCATCCCTCTTTTAGGTATAAATACATTGAGTAAGAAACCCGTACTTAAGCGAAGCGAAAGTCGCTTATGTTTATACTTGATAGTCCTACATCTCACCAGAAGATCAAGCGGAACGGGGCCAAACAGCACATACATATACCAGAACTACAAATTAAACCTTGTGGGCAACCACGCTGCACATCTCTCCAGACCGAAGCACTGGCCTCCACAACACAAGCCTTCCTATATCGGAAATAGCTCGCCCAAAGAACAATCTCACTACACCCGACCTCTAACAACCTTGAGAAGTCAAATACGCCTTTGAAATCCACAAATATGCCAAGGACATATTTGGAATTTGACCCACTCAGGCTATGTTGCACATACTGCCACGCCACGGTACATCAACACACGGTAAACCCGAACTGATACAAGGTCGTGCCTTCGCTGTAACATTCCTTGAGCCTTAACATTCAAAGAACTGGAAGAAGACTTATGTCCCGATAACAACTCGGGCACACTTCCAAGTACGCGGGGAGTATCCATGGCGAATGCTGGAGAAATGGACTCGATATATTCCCGTATGACCTTCCAGATGGCTTTAATCATCCTTCCAGTCATACCATCCATACCTGGTGATTTTCTACTTCTAACACGGCAAACACTGTCCACAACTTCTATACGATCTAGATCCCTTATTTCATCAAAAACTGGAGGAAATGATGGAGTCCGGAAAGAAGGTTCCCAACAAAAGCCATACGCTGTCCCCCCAACCCGAGGTGCTTGTCGTAGAGCTGCTACGCAACCCCTGTAGGTAAACCAGACACTGTCCACGAATTCTATACGATGTAGACCCGGAGGCTCCCTCATTTCATCAACAACTGGAGGAAAGGTTGAAGTCTTCGTTAACACTCTAACTAAACTGGTAATCTGTCGTTACTACAGATCTCATTTCCCTTCCGCCATAGTTCGGCAAATATAATCATCCCGTCATTCGATATTTTAAATGATAATAACGGAAAGAAGGTTCCCAACAAAAGCCATACGCTGTCCCCCCAACCCGAGGTGCTTGTCGTAGAGCTGCTACGCAACCCCTGTAGGTAAACCAGACACTGTCCAACCGCTGAAACGCTCAGTACTCTGCGTACGTCCCCTCGGAGCGGCCAAAATATCAATGAGGTTATGGTCACTCACACCCCAGTCTTCGTTAACACTCTAACTAAACTGGTAATCTGTCGTTACTGCTCACTTCGGAGGGGCCATCAAAGGTATACAGATCCGCTGGCTCATTTCCCTTCCGCCACAGTTCGCCAAATATAATCATCCCGTCATTCGATTTTTAAATGATAATCAATTATTTCTTTTGATCAGACCACCGTCGCAACAGTTCCTCTAAAAAGTTGGCTACTGGTGACCAAATGGTGATTTGATGATTTTGCTGAGTGGCGTTTTCAGGGTTTGGATGAGGAATTAATGCGATCTCGGGATCGCATTAATGTTCTTTTATTCCCCATTTATGAAGTATTCATTTCCGGATCTAAAAGTTTAAAATTAAAAAAATGAAAATAAATCAATTCCAAAATGTTTTTATTTTCCAGTTACTTACCGATTTGATGTTCGTCCACGGCATAAGACGTACAGTGCGCAATCATGCCAAATATGGCAATATGCCTGTGTATATGTATCGATTCTCCTTCGACGGTGCTTTGGGTCTATACAAACGAATGTTGGGTTTACAGCGGCCCGGTGTGTGTCACGGCGATGAATTGGGTTATTTGTTCAAATTTGGTTTCTTCAATTTGAGTTTGGATCCCAAGTCAATGGAGGTGCTAGTCAAAAATCGCATGGTGCGAATGTGGACCAATTTTGCTAAATATGGGTATGTCATAAAAACTAATTAAAAATTAAAAAAATTAATTGTTTTCTTTTTGTTTTATAGAAATCCCACACCACCACATTTAAGTGATGATTTGCTAAATACAATATGGTCTCCTGTTGAGCCCAATGGTGTTATGGAGAGCCTTAATTTTATGGATATTACAACAAATTTACAAATGAAAACAAATCCGGAATTGGAACGACAACAATTTTGGGATTATATGTATGAACATTATAATGGCAATGCCATGTAAAAGGAGGGAGTACAAAACATGGAGAAAAGCATAGATATTTTAGTTTAACATATAAAGAACACACACACAATAACCAATCACCTGTTAGGTCCTACATACCCATAAACACCACAATACATACAATCCAAGGATCTATATACACAAACACATACATACAAATTCATTTGCCATCTGTGTAGTTTATTTTGATCACAAAAAAGTAAGCGTGTCACAAAAAAATAAAAATTATTAGTTTATTATTTTTATAAACTTCACACGACCACCACCTCCCTCCCCCACCCACTTTAGTGTAGTCTAATAGTAGTTTAGTTTTTAATGAAAACAAACATGTGTTATACGTATGCTAGTTTTCCTTTGGAAAATCTAGAAAAGCATTTAATAAGTTATTTTAACCCCCTGCACGATGTGTAAATAGTCGCCGACAAATGTGTTTTTTAATTCTTACATATACATTTATATTATATAGAAAAAAAAACAAAACGTATAAGGTTTCTTTTGTCACAATCGTCTTTATATATAAATATAAAATTTTTTTTAACTTAAATTATTATATATTTTTTATAACATTGTATTTGTTTTACAATTGTTTAATATAAACGATTTTTTTTTACAAAAATAAACAATTAATATAAAATATTTTTATTTGTTGTTGTTTTTTCTTTATAATTTTAACAAAGTCTATGCAGTTGTATTGAATAAATAAAAAAGGTTATTTTTTAGTTGCTGGTGCCACAAACACCTGGGCCGAATGATATAAATACATTTGTAATAGAAATATGGTATCATCAAGGGATAATTCCGCCTTGGACAATGTCTTGATGCGATTCTTCACTTTATCCAAGATTTCTCGTTCAGGTGGGGTTAGAGTTTCAAGAATCTGAAATGGAAAATAATTAAAATATTGGGTTATTAGTGAAATTAAGGAGTGTGGCATATTTAAGTCCATTACTCTATATTAAACCAGTAAGGAAAATAGTAAAGTCGGACTGGGCCGACTATATGACACCCTCCACCACTTTGGGTATATTCTACATAGTCTTCTAACAGACGTTGCCTTTTCGAAGGAACATTGTCATGAAATTGAACGAATGATATTTAGGGACTTAAATCGGACGAAAAAATATATTTGAGCTACATCTAAAACTGAACCGATATTCACGAAACTTAACGCATTCTAGACTTAATTCAGTGCGCTATACAAAATTTCGTGCAAATCGAAAGATATATAGAGATTTTCGGACGAAAATATATATGTGAGCTATATCTAAATCTGAACCGACTTTCACGAAACTTAGCACACATCATTATAGACTCAATTCAGTACGCTATGCCAAATTTCGTGCAAATCGAAAAATATTTGGGGACTTTGACGCACCATTTACCTTAAATCGGACGAAAATATATAAATGGAGCTATATCTAAATCTGAACCGATTTTCACGAAACTTCACGTACGTCATTCTAGGCCTAATTCAGTACGCTATGCCAAATTTCGTACAAATCGAAAGTTATATAGGGTCTTGGATTTAGCATTTAACTTAAATCGGATGAAGATATATATGGGAGCTATAACTAAATCTGAACCGATTTTCACGAATCTTAACACACATCATTCCAGACTTAATTCAATAAGTTGTGGCAAATTTCGTGCAAATCGAAAGATATATAGGGACTTTGGTGCACCATTTACCTTAAATCAGATAATATTATATATGGGAGCTATATCTAAATCTGAACTGATTTGTCCAAATGTCAATAGGGCTCGTCCTTGGGCCAAATCAATGAGCTGTGCCAAATTTCATCCAAATCGGATGATAAATGCGACCTGTACTTTATTTTTTTGTTGTTGTCTACGATATAGTTGTTGTAGCAGCCCTATTGCTTTTACACAATGGTGACAGACGATGGCTGAGTAAGACTCGGGCCGTTTCGGATCGTGATCACCTATATCGTGCAGTTTTGCTTTATGCCTGGCTACGTGTTTAACTCGGTGTCTTAAAATTCCGAATCTCTTATATTCGTTCAATTTTATAACTCTAGGTCGTCGGTTAGTACACTGGAATAACATAATTTAATATGGGTAACTTACCTCGGCAATATACTCTTCGGATTCCCCTCTCTCTTTCATTGTTGCAACAATGCTATCCAACTTTTGAGATTTTTCAATTAAACGTTTGTGTTCATTCTTCTCATAATTGGAACGGGTTATATCATTGTATAAAGCCTTAAAACAAATGTCCAGCAACATTTTGGCAATCTGGAAAACATTAACAAAAATAAATTTTAATTGTACTCCTAAAATTTATGTTTGAAAATACGTACCTGTTTATATTTCAAATAAAACAAATAGAAAGCCTTTGCTGGTCCAGTGCCACCACCCCCCGCTTTGCGTATTGTTTTAATTTGAAGAAATTGTTCTTGAAATAAATTATAAGATAAAAGCTTCGCTTCTTTTGCCGGTACCATAGCCTCCTTTTGTAGATCTTCTTGTTCGATATATTTTTTCATTCGCACAACACGAAAGATTCGCGATGCTTTCGAACCAAAACGTTCGGTAATGACATTTTCTATGCATGCCAAGGCCAATGATTCAAAGGCGGGTGCTAAATCTACCACATATTGACCGCCACCCATTTCACCAATTTTTCTTATGAAATGCAGGGAGTCATCGGCTAAGAACAATATAATCGAATTGTTTAAAATATTTCAAATGGATAGATTTTGAATTACTTTACCAATTAATGCCACATATTGATCTAAATGCCTTATCAAATCCAAATTATTTGAGTTCTTTTCCACCACATGTTTCACTTCGACAATAGTAAAGGGATTAGAAGCTTGCTGTAAATATTTTTAATAAAATTTAATAATTTTTAAAACGATTGTTAGTAAACATACTCTTTGCCAGGGATCGGTTCTCTCGTACATTTGCTTTAGTATAAGTTTAAAACATTCGGCAGCACTTGCTCCCAATTTCCTTTCTACAGCCGATATCATACATTGATCTCGAAAATCTTGATGGAAACGTTTGAAGTTCAATTGCCAAAATATTGCTGGAAATAGAACAAGCATTAATGCACAAGAAAGGGAATGAGTTATAATATATGACAGAGATTTCCTCCTTTGAAATATATTCCAAATTAAAAAAATATTCGCTCTCACCTGCATCCCTTAGTTGTGTGGCCTGTACAGTACCAGCCTGAACTTTAGCCAACATCGATAGATCAATATCGGGTGGATTAAATAAATCATAATCTTCTATGTGCAGCTTTGGCACTAATTCTGGTTCACCGCTCTCATTTGGCACCAACATCGGAAGTTTTATTAAATAATTGTCACGTATCATTAGTACAAAGGTGTCGCGGTGTTACGTGTCCCTTGGGTGCAGCGCAGATATGTCCAGGTGGCTCCGACCAACTCGGCCGACTCTCTTAGGGCAGGTCCCATCCCGACAACTGGCTCAGGAACACCAACAATAAACACAAGCATCAATCTAAATAAACATAATACGGAAACTACTAACTATTTCCAGCATATTCCATTCAAACTATCGCCATCTTGGCCTGTTAGGCCGCCCTCCCTACCATGATCATCTTTCCCTCCTTTTCCTCTGATGACCCCTATTTCCGCACAACCCCACACTACTTACCTCACCTTGAACCTATCCTCCAATCTTAATTTAACAGCTCATCCTTTTTCGTTATAATTATTATCAGTACATATTTTTTTATTCTATTCTAGGTTTTTTAATATAATCAAATGTTTCAAAATGTATCTCTTATTACTAATTACTATACTAAATTTAAATAAATAAAAAAAAATTAAACAAAAATCAATGGTTTAAAATGAATAAGGAACGTAATAATTTAATAAGCTGTTAAATGATATATTAATCGAAAGGTCGTTAGACCACAAAGAAAACTTGGTTGATCAATCAACGTTTCGTAGGCCCAATTGGGCATTAAATACAAATTACAAACTTTCGTGCATGCAAAGGACACAGAATAGGTCCTCAAATACCTTCAGACAATTTTTATTTGCGTGTCCTGCCTACCCTCCTAATGTCTCACAACTAAAAAAGAGCTCTTTTACAGAATTGGACAAATGGGGGGGATCGACTATCAGATCTACAAAAAAAATTATCTCCTGATACTAACACAAATTATGTAGAGGTCCTCACAAACGTTGCATTGATGCACCAAACATTACATGAAAATTTGTTAAAAATGATTTGTAATAACAATATAGAATATAGATATAAAAAAAAATACGTTAAAAATACATAGAATAACAAAAGTCATATTACACGTACAGACACAAAAAAAACATAAAGATTTTTAAATCGACTCGTGATAAAATTTGTTTTACGTCATCCACGAGTCAGTTTCTTTCTTTGATTTTATCTTTCTTCGCCTTATCCTGGCGATAAGACCCGGACAATTCTTGACGATCTTGATGTTTATAAATTGCGCTAGATTCTCACAATTTTCGCCCACTGTGTAATTACTACAGATAAATTCGTTCGATATATAATATTTATGTCTGGGATAAATTGTCTCGGATATATCGTAAACTCTTGGGCAAGTTATGTCTGGTGCTGAACTTAGATTGGACGAGTTGAGACACTATCGTCGAAAATGTATGGTAAAACAGTGCCTACCTTGTTCAAATTAACTAATAATTAATTTATTAATAAATTCACTTGATTACCTTTTTCTTTCGTCGGATTTTGCTTATTTTTGGAGGGCTCGGTGGCATTCGCACAAATAGCTACGTCTCACTCGTCAACTATATTGTAAGGTGATATTTTCCGGCTTTATTTCATTTCATTTTTTTGTTTGTTGTTTCCAATTATATATCTATATTTTTTTTTACCTTTCTTTCAATAAAGTAGAGTTTTCTGTTTTTTTGTTTAATATTAATTACAACACTTTATCTTCACTATGAAACTAACAGGTTCACTAAGTCAACACCTTTAACATAACTAAATATTTTTCCCAAATTACTCTCTTTTATAAGTTCGGGAGCATAAAAATGGCTACTTCTCGTGCAGAGCACTGTTAGATGACCCTCGGTCTATCCTTTTTTTTTAATATTAGCCGTCCCATTTTCGTTCGGTTCAAATGTTTTTGCAACCAACCTTTGCAACATTTTCTAGACCTAGTATTCTCCCCTCCTAATTTAAGAGAACATCCACCACCCTCGTTAGTCGGTAACACAGTGCCTTAACGAATTGTGCGTTGGCAACGCGTGCTCAGCTGTTTTCCGAACACCTCCAAACATATGTCAGAAATGTGACAGAACATATGGCAATGTTAAAAAAATGTAAATGGACAATCGAA